ACTGGTCTGGCAAGGCCGGGGCAGTTTTTAATTCCCTGCTCTATTCTCTCCCCTTCCCCTATATCTCCCTGACATGCAGCAGCAACTGATCTGGCAATTCCGGGGCTGTTTTACATTCCCTAAACCCAGTTTTATCCCCTTTCCCCCCATCTCCCTGACATGCATCAGCAATTAAACTGGCAAGGCCGGGGATGTTTTACTTTCCCTGCTCTGTTCTCTCCCCTTCCCTTCCATCTCCTTCACATGCAGCAGTAACTGAACTGGCAAGGCTGGGGCTGTTTTACATTCCCTGCCCTGCTCTCTCCTCTTCCCCTGCATCTGCCTAACATGCGGCAGCAACTGAGCTGGCAAGGTCGGGGCTGTTTTACATTCTCTGCCCTCTTCTCTCCCCTTCCCCTGCATGTCCCTTACATGCAGCAGCAACAGAACTGTCAAGGCAGGGGCTGTTTTACATTCCCTGTTCCTGTCCGGTTCTCTTACCTCCCTCCCACTTTCCTTGCCTGGCAGCTGGAAACTCCAATTGCATGTAGAGGCAATCACTGGTTCTTTGAGCTGCTCTCTCCACCCACCACCTTTCACAGCCATGCCCGTGGAAAGCACCTGCAATTGCCATGGAACGATGCATCCTCAATGGGAGTCCAAGCTGAAGCACGGGGTTGAGCTGCCCAAGAGCACCAGGCTGAACCGCGAAGGGGTCGAGGCCTACCACCGCGGCGTGAAGCAGTGGGTGAGTGCCTCCATCGCCACTGCTCACCCGACGAGGGGGCCTTGGTGGAATGCCACCCACAAGGCTTGGCGGTTCTCCAACTCCACCAAGACGGTCTTCATCAGTGACGAGGGGCTGGACGATGATGACTGAGTGCCCCTATGCTGCTTGGTTCTAGGTAGCAGAGTGCAGTATGGCTGGATGGAATGTAGGCACTTTAGAAATTGCTGTTATAACCTTCTAACTGTTTATGCTGTAGTGATTGCCGTAACTGTGCTAGTAATGCGATTACAAAACGTAATATATACTATTTAACACAATTAAAAAAATTGGTCTAAAATACAATATAGCAAAACCAGCCAGTGTATACATAGTAAGCGCAAATATACAAGTTCAGAAACAAAATTTCAGATGCATCAGAATCATTAACGCGTAAGTTATTAAAGAAGATACATGGACAGGTTTCTGCGACAGTAACCCCTCTTGACGAACTCGTAACTCTGCCTTTCATTGACTAATAGGAGATTGGTGCCGCACTTTCGTAGACCAATGTCGCGGAAGGCACACCCAGCGCAGCCACTGCCTGTTAACGTAGAAACGAATGATTACTAGAGGTGGAAACCTAGAACAAATACTAGTTGGTTGTACTCACTAGAAGCATACCTCAGTCTAGCCTATAACTTCTACATAGATAATATGTATAAGTTGACACACCCCCTAGGCTAGACAAGGGGTGAAACTAAACAAGAAGCAAACAGCTCAGGGCGGCACTACTAGTCCAACCACTGAGGCAGGGGTCTGGAGACCAGTCAGCAAGAATACAACCAAAACTGAAGCAAGCCAGGGTGGCACTACTAGTCCAGCCACTGGAGGTAAGGCCACAAGGCCAGTCTGACAAGCATATATAATAGAGAGTACACAATCAGGATCCTAACAGGGGAGCAGCTATAGGAACAAGACCAAGCTGTACACAGTGCCGCTGATGATCTTTAGGCGCAAGCGCCTTAGTAAAGATATCAGCTGTGTTGGCACCTGAGGCCAAGTGAACTACGCGGGCCTGGCGGCGCTGCTGTAGCTCGCGCAGGAGGAAGTACCGCAGCTGGATATGCTTCGCTCTGCCCTCAAGCCGAGGCTCCTGACACAGGAGTATCATGGCCCTGTTGTCAGCGTACAGGACCGGGGCAGAGCTAGGCCGCTCACCTAAGTCTGTGAGCAAGAAGGTCAGCCGAAGCGGAGGCACGGGTGGAATAGCGAGCAATAACGGCGTCTAAATAAGCTTTGTCCGTTTCAACAGTAGCAAAACGCGAGCGCTCAGACACAGGGAGGGCGTGACTAATAGCAACCTGAGCTACTGCATCGCGTGAGTCCCAGATCGCACAGGCCAGCGCAGCAGTAGAGAAAGCCTCACGGTCATCAGAGGAGGGGTCAGCAGGGAGGGGAGTAGGTGCAGGGGGACGGGGGAGCAAGCCATCAGCATGGACAACCAGAGAGTGGCCATCCTGGCGCTGACCTGTAAGCTGGCGGCGAAGATCGGAGAGCCAGGCGGCGAAGTCAACCGCGTGGCCCTCAGCGTCCAGGCGGAGCACAAAGTCAGCCATCGTGCAGGGTCAGCGGCACAGCTCCTCAGCGACACAGCGGCACAGCAGCACAGCTCCTCAGCGGCACAGGAGCACAGCGGCGCGGGGACACGGCGGCAGCACTCTCCAGTAGGGCAGCAGCTAGGCGTCCCAGCGCAGGCAAGCAGAAGACACAGGGCCCGAGAGGACACGGCAGGCCGAGCAGGGGAGGCGGGCAGGTGCTCTGGGGCCGGGCTGGTGCTGGGAGGGGCCAGGCTGGTGCTGCTGGGGCCGGTCGGGCACGAGGAGGGGCCGGGCAGCGCTGAGGAGAGGCCGGGCGGCGCTAGGAAGGGGCCGGGCGGCACTAGGAGGAGGCCGGGCGGCACTAGGAGGAGGCCGAGCGGCACTAGGAGGAGGCCAGGCGGGCGAGCGCTAACAGCAGGCGCGACAGGGGCCAGCGGGCGCGACGGGGCCTAAGGGGCGCGACGGGGCCCAGCGGGCACGACGGGGCCCAGGGGGGGCGCGACGGGGCCGAGGAGGCGCGACGGGGACCAGCGGGCACGACGGGGCCCAGGGGGGCCGCGACGGGGCCTAACGGGCGCGACGGGGCCCAGGGGGGGCGCGACGGGGCCTAGGAAGCGCGAAGGGGCCCAGCGGGCGCGACGGGGCCTAGGAGGGGCGCGACGGGGCCGAACGGGCGCGACGGGGCCCAGAGGGGGGGGACGCGACGGGGCTTAGGAGGCGCGACGATGCCTAGGAGGCACGACGGGGCTCAGCGGGCTCGACGGGGCCCATGGGGGGCGCGACGGGGCCTAGGAGGCGCAACGGGGCCCAGCGGGGGCGCGTTAGGGCCTAGGGGTCGCGACGGGACCCAGCGGGCGCGACGGGGCCTAGGGGGAGCGCGACGGGGCCTAACGAGCGCGACGGGGCCCAGGGGGGGCGCGACGGGGCCTAGGGGGCGCGACGGGGCCTAGGAGGCGCGACGGGCGGAAGCGGTAGGCGGGGGGATCCTAACCTAAGCGTGATACCATGTTAACGTAGAAACGAATGATTACTAGAGGTGGAAACCTAGAACAAATACTAGTTGGTTGTACTCACTAGAAGCATACCTCAGTCTAGCCTATAACTTCTACATAGATAATATGTATAAGTTGACACTGCCTTCACGAATCACACAACCACACAACCTGCCAATAAAAAAAAAGAGGGAAATTTTCGCGCAACAGTTCAGCCTAGCAGAACGAATCAGATCATTGCCTCGAAGTGCTACCTCATTGGACACACTTTCAATCATACCGAAGAGTTAGTTGTGGGGTGGACAGATGAGCGGCTAGGATTTGTCGCCAACCAACCCAACCTAGTCGCGGAGTCGGAAAGTCACATCCAGGCATGTCTCCCACTATCTTCGCGGAATGCCCTGAGCTCATAACGGAAAACTAACTGGGGAGTCAGTTTGAAGAAAAATTTGACGCAATGGTTTTTTGCGATGGGTCGAGTCTACTTTGAGTTGCTGGCGAAATAGAAAACTTACGCTAGCAGAAGTCCTGATATTTCACGCGAAATATGGGCTGCGGAATGCCTGGCGTCTTCGGATGCTCTCTGTTGGTTCAGCGTGTTTGCCGGAGTGTGGCTGGTTGATGGTGTGACGCGTTAGCCTACCTCCTGTACTGCTGTGCTGCTGTGCCGTCTGTTGTACTTTGCTGCTCTTGGTTTTCCTTTCCCAACCTTGTTTGAGCTTTGGTTTGCGAAGTACAATTTGCATTTGCGAGTGTCGCAAACGAGTTTCCAGACTTCGGGCTCTCGTCATCCTCGCAGCCAATAGCAAGCCTCTCTATCGAACCCAAGTCGCGCTCTCTTTTCGCGGCTTGTAACTTGGGATCCGGGCTTTAAGCAAAATTCGCGAAGCCCCCAACTCGGACAAAAAAGAGTGGGGGTGGGGGGAGGAACCCGGGATAAACAGACCCTCCCAACACGTTAGGGCGTGTAACCTACGGTTCCGGAACTGAGTTCCGTCCGAGTTTTGATGTGGTGACAAATTTCGCCACAAATCGCACGTAATTTCGCTAAGGATTCTTCAGTTTCGAAACTCGATGTTCCAGCAACGTCCGGACGCCAGTTTCGAACGGTCGTCCGGAGGGCCGTTCGAGAATCTCCCTCCAGCTCTGTGCGAAAAGAACACGCGAGGCCTTCGGGGGAAAATGACACCAAGTCAATGATCGAATTTGCTGGCGCGCCTGAACCGCCAATCGCGGAAGTGACAAAACAAAATGTGTGCTGCGAGATTCGTCATGCCTAGCGTGTGATTGGCTTACGAGGGGTTGGTTTTCGTTTTTTCGCATATTACTTTTCACACGTCGTTCAAACGTTTGAACGATGGAACATCCAGTTTCGAAACTCGATGTTCCACTGACGGACAGCAATCATAGTTGCGTTTCGAAACTCGATGTTCCAGCGACGAACGGAACTCGCGTATATCGAGTTCGGAGCTGAGTTCCGGAGATATGCCGACGAAACCGTAGGCTACACGCCCTTAGCGTAGGCCCTGCTGTAACTCCATGTGCCTGCAGAGACGTGTACAGTGGTGAAGAGTACGTCCCACGCAAATTGTATGCGGTGGGGAATGGTGCGACACGCTGGAAACCGGTTTTCGTGCTTCGCCAGTCTGAACCTCCAGGCACAGTGGACCAAACGAGATGTATGTGGGATGTACTCGTCGGACACTCTCTAAACATTAGTTTCTCAGACCTTGTCTCAGTCAATTTGACATCAAGTCGCTACCAATGGCTTCTTCCGATCCCGTTGACGATCTCACCACGCCAGACGGGTCGCCGATCCAACGTCTATTAGACGATCTGCTCTCCAAAATCCTCCATCGAGCTGCTCAACCCGACGCATTCCAGCAAGCTCTTGTCTGCAAGAAATGGCGTGACCTGGCATATGGTGCGCAGGTTTCCATCTGCGTGAGTGAATCACGTCGCATGAAGGGCCTTCCACTTCTCTCCCAGCTCTCGACATTCCCGAAGCTGAAAAGGCTCGTCTTCGCCACTCGCAGTCTCGTTCGCGTCTCGGACGTTTTCCTCTCTCGCCTAGCTGACTCGCATCCCGATCTGACACAGCTTCACATTGAGTCGATGATGGATTGGCCCAGACCTGGAGGGGATTACTCGGAGGAGGGACTTTCGTGCCTTTTTAAGAGCTGCACCCAACTTGAGGATCTGCGTCTAGGCTGGTCGTCGTGCGTTTCTATCATTCCGCCTTCCATCAGCAATCTCACTCGGCTAAAGAAACTCCATATCGGTGCAGATCATATCGAGCATCTTCCCGAGTCCATCACCTCGCTACAGTCAATGGAGAGCCTTGAGCTCTGCATGGAAAAGCTGCAAGACCTTCCGTGGGATTTCGGCAATTTAAGCTCGTTGAACTCGTTCCGACTGGAGCAGATTTCCGCTCTTTTTTCACTCCCGGAATCCGTTCAGCAGCTTGCCAATCTCCACCGCCTTTCCATCGAAGGTCGCGGAAGGTTTCAATTCCCAGATGTTCTTTCTGAACTCCGTCTGTTGAAAGCCGTCGAAATTACGAACTGTGACGAGCTTTTGCCCCTGCCTGAAAGTTTTGGGAAGATCACAGCGCTGGAGAGCCTACGTTTGGTGGCCGTGGGGGGGATTACGGAGCTTCCAGAGACCTTTGGGCAGCTGCAGCGGCTGCAACTCATTTCCATCAGCTTTTGCTCCGATCTCGTTTCGCTGCCGGGCTCCTTCACCAACCTATCATCACTCACAAGTCTCGAGCTGTCTCGGACGGCGATATCAGAGCTTCCGGACGAGATTGGACGATTATCAGAGCTACGGTTTTTCAAGCTGGCAGCTGCGAGTCTCACAGGGATCCCGGACTCCCTAGGAGATCTGACAAAACTGCGGGAGCTTGGTATTTTTGAGTGTTCGCAGCTACGGCAGCTGCCTGACTCCCTCACCCTGCTATCGTCGCTTGAACGGCTGAGCGTGACTGGTTGTCCGAGGCTGACTGCTCTTCCAGATGGCATTGGGGATGGCTTACACAGCCTGCGTGAGCTCACAGTGAGCTGCAAGGCACTCACACAACTTCCTCCATCCTTCGTCCGGCTAACATTCCTCGAGAAGCTGGACATTTCTAAACTTGGGAGCATGGGAGGCTCCCTACCAGAGGATTTTGGCTGCTCCCGGAGCCTAAAAAAACTCTCTCTACGGCGCGTGCCGGGTCTATCGGCCCTCCCTACCTCCCTTTCACAACTCACCAGCCTCAAGATTCGGAGTTGCAAGGGTTTTAAGCAGCTGCCGGGTGAAATAGGACGACTTGATTTGCTGGAGAAGCTGACACTCTCAGATCTAGACAGTTTGGAGGAGTTTCTTGTTCTCGAAGCTGCTGTTTTCCTGTCGTTGCAGAGGCTGAATCTTATCGGTCTTCCTTTTGATGCGCTAGATCCATCAGTGGGGCGTATCTCATCGTTGAGAACGCTGGCGCTGTCAGAGATGCGTGTGCTTCAGTCACTGCCATATTCGCTCTCTCGCTTGTCGAATTTGCAGGCACTAACCATCGACGACGCCAAGCGTTTGGAATCGTTGCCAGAAGCAGTTGGCAGTCTTGCGGGACTCACCACCTTAACACTGTCAGGCCTTGACAACCTGCGGGAGCTGCCCTCATCGTTCGGGCAGCTGAAGATGCTCAAGTGTCTAGACATCTATGGGTGCCCAAAGCTCACCAAGATCCCAGAATCTTTTCCTTATCTGTCCAACCTGCAGCACTGCTCCCTTTCTTGGTGCCGGGAAATAACGTTCCTTCCAGAAGACTTTGGAAAGCTTTCCTCTCTCGAGAGTCTCAAGCTAATGGAGATGCTGAATCTCCGCAGCCTGCCCGACTCTTTTCTTCAGCTGCATCGATTGAAGACACTCCAAGTGAACGGGTGTGCGCAGCTGGCCCAGCTGCCATTGTCGCTCTGTGATATGCCGATGCTGCGATGGCTTGCCGTCTATGATTGCCCTTTGATACCGAACCGGGCATACCTGGATGCAGCAGAAGGTGATTGAGGTGGAGTCAAAAGGTGTTCGACAACAGGGAAGAGGGGGGGGGGATTGGTGGGGGCACTGGTTGGATATGGAAGTGGGTGAGGGGGAGAAGACAGTGAGGAAGGGGAGGTGGCAGAGAGGATGTGGGTGATGGGAAGAAATGACCAGTGGAGAAAGTGATACCGTGAATGAGGATGGGGGAGGGGAGGGAGGGGGGAGGAGGAGGACAAGATAAAGGAGCAAGAGCAGCAGGGAAGGTGGTGAGATGTGGAGGAAGAGGACAGGCAGGGGAGAAATGGTGTGCATTTTGTATAAGGGGTGGATGGTATGGGATGACGGGGAGGAGACAGTTGAAAAGGGTTTCGGAAAAGGGGATATCATAACTGTTGTACAGAAGGGGACATGCGGAGAACAATGTGTTGTCAGACGGTCACTCGTATATACTTAATGCACCTCACTTTCGTGCACGCTAACACTATTTACTGCCCCTGGGAAGTTGAGAAAACGAAGCAGCCAGTGTGGTACAAACAAGACTGTAACAAACAGTGAAATTGATGAATAGAGAGAGAGAGTACACAAACATATACCTAAATGTTGTACTCTCTAGAAGATAACCCTATACAGTCTATACAAGCATGATAACTAAACATGTTTGACACACCCCCTGGACTGCATAGGGGAATGTTCTAGACAAGCAGCTCAGGGTGGCACTACTAGTCCAGCCTCTGAGACAAGGGTCTAAAAGACCAGTCAGAAGGAGTACAGGCAAGGCAAGAACTAGTACAGGGCGGCACTACTAGTCCAACCACTGTAAGAGGACACAAGTCCAGTCTGAGTGTACACACAGATATATAGGACAGTACAGAGTCAAGGCCCGAGTAAGTGAGAGACTACAGGAACCAGACCAAGCTGCACACAGTGCCGCTGATGATCTTTAGGCGCAAGCGCCTTCGTAAAGATATCAGCTGTGTTGGCACCGGAGGCTAAGTGTACTACGCGAGCCTGGCGACGCTGCTGTAGCTCACGCAGGAGGAAGTACCGCAGCTGGATGTGCTTCGCTCTGCCCTCAAGTCGAGGCTCCTGACACAGGAGGATCATGGCCCTGTTGTCAGCGTACAGGACCGGGGCAGAGCTAGGCCGCTCACCTAAGTCAGTGAGCAAGAAGGTCAGCCAGCGGAGCTCCTGTGCCGCCATGGCACCGGCGTAGATCTCGGCCTCACAGCTGGACTGGGCAACAGACGAAGAGCGGGTAGCTCTCCACGAGACAGCACCTGAACCAAGGCTAAAGCAGTAGCCCTGGGAAGACCTGAGCGTCTCGGCGTCGTCTGCCCAAGAAGCGTCTGTGTGTCCAGTAAGGACCACTGGCCTGCGTCCGCCTAGCACTAACCCCATGCCCGATGTACTTGCAAGATAACGCAAAACCCTCTTAGCGGCAGACCAGTGCCGAGGTCGGTGCCTGCCTGTGGCCACGAAACGAGCCAGGATGCTGAGAGGGTATGCGAGATCTGGGCGAGTGCAAGTCATCAGGTACATGAGGCAACCCACTAGCTCAGCGTAAGGACCACTGGGATCTACCGGCTCCTCAGGAACTGGAGCGGAGAGTCTGTGGTCCAGAGGAAGAGGGGTGGGCTGTGCGGAGGAGAACTGAAGGCCGAACCTCTGAAGGACCTGGCGCACCAAGTGTGACTGAGTCAGGGTGATGGTGCGCGCGGCTCTGTCCCTGGAGATCTGCAAGCCAAGGTAACGGCGCAGCTCTCCAAGGTCAGTGCAGGTGTGTCTCTTCAGCAGCTCTGCCTTTACGGAGGCCAGTGCGTCCCTGTCAGCAGTGGCAAAGACCAGGTCGTCTACGTAGACGAGGATGTAGAACGGAGTCGAGCCAGCACGAACGAAGAGCGAGGGGTCTGCAGAGGACGGAAAGAACTGCAGGTCAGCAAGGGTAGCACGCAAAGTGTCGTGCCACTCACGAGGCACCTGGCGCAGGCCGTAGACTGGCCGCCGCAGAAGCCACTGGGTCCCAGGGGGGAAGGTGCCAGTAAAGCCCTGAGGGCGACGCAGGTAGACCTGCTCGTGAAGGCTGCCCTGAAGAAAGGCAGTGGAGAAGTCGAGGGAGTGAAGCTCGTAGTCACGCTGAGCCGCTACGTGTAGCAGCACCCGAAGAGTAGTCATCTTCGGGGTAGGAGCGAAAGTCTGAAAGAAGTCCACCCCCTCGCGCTGACTGAAGCCTCTAGCCACGTAGCGCGCCTTGAACACAGGCGGCTCTCCAGGAGGGCGCTTCACCTTGAAGAGCCAACGGCCATCGACCACGTTCACCCCAGGTGGGGGAACTGCGTCGACGAAGGTGCCGGTGGATCTCCAAGATGCCATCTCCTGCTCCATGGCAGCTATCCACTGAGAGGCCCAGGGTCCCGAAACCGCCTCAGCGTAAGTACGAGGGGTCGGGATGTCGAAAGCGTCTGGGTCACCCTCAGGGACTAGCAGCATGGAACAGAGATGGGGAGCAGCCTCGGACAGGAAAGCAAGCTCAAACTGGCGGTCCTCCAGGACGTCACTGCCGAGGGCAGGAGCACCCCCGACAGACGGAGGACAGGCAGGGTGAGAGACCAGAGCGGTGGCGTAGTCAAGGCGGCGGGTAGAGGCGAAGTCAGCGACCGCAGCGACGAGGGCGTCAAGACTCGACACGGGAACAGACGGGTCGGTAACGAGAGAGGCAAGGACCCGAGGAACAAGAGGACGAGCGGCACGAAAGGAGTCCGACAGAGGAGGAGACGCAACGACAAGAGAAGACGGAGGAGGAGACGGGAGGAGGGGAGGTCGAGACGCGTGGGAACGGAGCAACATAGGGTGAGAGCGCGGGACAGGGGAGACAGGACGAGCACGAGAGGGGCGGCGAGACCAGACGTGTGAGGGCGGCGTCGGGTCAGGAGACAGAGGACGGGACACAGGAGGGGAACGAGGGGGAAGACGAGCCGGGGACGAGTCTGGCAGAGGGAACACGGGGCCGTTGACGGGAAGAGGGGGAGACGGCAGGAGAGGAACAGGCGCAGGGTCAGGAGACGGAAGGCCGAGCAGACGGAGGGCGGACACAGGCGGGGACTGCTGCTGCGGCGACACAACACCAACACCAGGGCCACAAGCTGCGCGACGGCTACCTCCCGAACCCTCCACACCTGCACCCCCAGAAGGGACACCCCCAGAGTCCACAAACGGCGGCAGCGACGACAGCGGCGGCGGCGGCGGCGGCTGCAGCGACGGCTGCGACGGCGGCGGCGGCGGAGACGACGGCTGCAACGGCGGCGGCGGTGGAGACGACGGCTGCAGCAGCTGCGGCGACGGCGGCTGCGGAGGCGGTGGAGGAGGAGACACCGGGGGAGGGACAGACGGCGAGGACTGCGCCGGAGGACTACCAGAGTCAGAAGACTCGTCGACCGGGACGACCGACGGGAGGGGGGTGACGTGAGACACACCAGAGGGGGCCGGACGGGGGGGCGGGGGGGGGGGAGGGGCAGGGACCACCAGGGAGGGAGGAACCAGGAAAAGGGGGGGAGTAACCGGGGGACCACGGTGGGGAAAGCGGCGGTAGAAGGAGACGGACTCGTCAAAGGTGACGTCGCGAGAGTGAAAGAAGCGGTGAGACGGCGGGTGGTAGAAGTGCCAGTCGGACGCGTCAAGGGGGAAACCGAGGAAGACGCAGGGGAGGGTGCGGGCAGTGAGCTTGTCCGTGCCAGAGGCACGAACGTGAGCAAGGCAGCCCCAGACGCGGAACGCAGACGCGTCACCAGGGGACCCGGTCCACAGAAGGGTCGGCGAAACCTGCGGCCGCTGGGGGTGCGGCCACAGGTTAAGCTGGTGAGCGGCGTAGCGCACGGCGAACGGCCACAGAAAATGGGGTGCACCGGCGTGGATCATGGAGGTGCGAGCCACCTCCATGACCAAACCGATGCGTCGCTCAGCGACCCCATTCTGCTGCGGGGAGTCCGGCAGGGTAAACGTCTGGGTGATGCCCTCCGCACGACAGAAGCGACCAAGGACACCTGAGGCAAACTCGCCACCCCGGTCGGAGTGAAGGCGCAAGGCAGGGAGACCGCGGTGGACACGAGCAGAGACAAGCCAGGGGATGAGAACGTCAGGCACGTCGGCCTTCCGCTCCAGGGGGAAGACGGTGGTGTAGCGCGTGAAGTCGTCGACAAGCACTAGGAAGAAGCGCTCGCGACGCGGCCCATGGACCGGGGCTGGGCCCCAGACGTCCATGTGCAGAGTCTGCAGTGGTGCGGTGGTAGGGGGAAAAGAGGAGGAGTGAGGGGCACGGCGGAGCCGGCCCTCGACACAAGGCGTGCACGGTGGGGCGGGGGAGGAGGGAAACTCGGGGAACGAACCGGGGAGACCAAGGACGAGACCGTGCTGGGACATGTGACGCAGACGTGGGAGTGCAGGGTGACCAAGGCGGTGGTGCCAAAGGAGAGTCGGGTGAGTGAGGGACCGACAGGAGCACGCGGCTGCAACCTGGGTGGACGCAACTACCGGGGGGGAAGACCCAGCCGGGGACGGCGCGGTGTCAAGTGTGAACAGGCCGGACACCGGGTCCCGGGGGAAAGTGGTAAGGGGGGCACCAGTGGCGGCCTCGGTACAGACAGCATACCGCTCGTGACCAGGGAACGTAGTGGTGACGCCAAGGTCCTGGAGGCAGCCGACACCAACTAGGTTCCTGGAGAACGAGGGGATATGCAGACCTGTGAGAGTGCCCGAAGGAACCGCCGGACAGGGAAGGGAGGTGGAACTGCGGGCAACGACGGGACCACCGGAGGGGTCAGCAAGAGTAACTGCAGCGGGAACAGGCAGCGGCGTCAGCGTCGTGGAGTCGCGGAAGAAACACCGGGAGGCGCCAGAGTCCAAGGTGAAGGAAAGCGCAGCAGTCGCGCGAGGCAGCAGTGAAGCGGTGGAAGCACCAAGGCTAAGCAAAGCAGGAGATCCTACGCCTGACGCAGCAGGGGAGTCTACGCTAGGCACCGCTACACTAGGCAACACGGGGTAATAAGAGGGAAGCACACTAGAGTCATCAGCATACATCACATGCAAGGCCGCTACAATGGCATCCATGTCCAAGTCAAAAATCCTAACGCTACGCCTAAGCAAGCTGTGCCAGTCCGGGAGGTCGGGCGCCGGGCCAAAGCGCTGGCGGAACAGGTCGTCCAGGCGACGAAAACAGCGAGGAGTAGAATGACCGATCTTACCGCAAGCGAAGCCGCGGCGAGGACCGGTCTGGATCTGGTACTGACAGGGCCCGCCTCCAGAACCACCACCCGGTGCACCACCACGCGCACGACCACCACCAGCTCCAGGCCACCCAGGTGGGAGAGTACTCGCCTGCCTCGTCTGCGGCGGCTGCTGCGGCTGCTGCGAAGGCTGCGGCTGCGGCGACTGCTGCTGCTGCGGCTGCTGCAACTGTGGAGGCAGCGGGGCAGCTGGA